GCTATAATGTAAAGGTTAACTATTTCACTATCGTTACTTTTTGCCCAGCGAAGCGGGTCCTTGCAGCTAGATTCTAGATTACTTAGAAAAACAGTCTTTTATATATAAAAAAATCTATATTACATACAAATGTACGAACAAATAAAAACCCAGCGAAGCGGGGTCCTTGCAGCTAGTGTAATATAATATACCCATATATCGGACCCATATGAAAGAGAGGAGCAGCTCAAAACTATTACAGCACAAACCATACAATACGGTTCTTCAAGGAATATCATTAGGAGCCATAGTAAAAATCTAGACTAATGGCAGCAAGTATCGGGAATGTTTTTTATATCACTTACGAACCACTGATTTAACCACTGTGGCCACAAAACGACATATTACCACCCGCATAAATGAGCAACAAAGTTTTATAACCAGGAGCCTAAACACCAACGTCTTAACCATCTATGCCAGTGACCCTGAAATCGAGGTACTTTGATACTACCCAAACTGTATACCTCACACAATAGAACTCGACTCAGATTTTTGAAGCTGTTACAAATATAATACAAAGCCGCTACGATAAACGCAGCCATTAATTTCATTAGCTTGGATGCTTATTTTACTTCATAATGATGCGGTCTAAGGCATCCAGTCCACCGATCAACGAGCCTGCATATTTCAAATTGAGGCATTCATCTGGTGCGATTCGAATTTAGAATGTTAAAATTAAATCCCGCTTCATCAATGAATATTGTTTTTTGTTACGCTTGCGGAGAATTTCGAACAACATGTAATATATAGGGGAAGGTGGGACAAGATGAGAACGTCAAGGTTTGAAGAGTCATAAGATGACAACCACTTTGATGAGAACGATAATTTTTTTTTATTCTCAGCAACTACAACATTTGATAATATATAATACAAAATTTAATTTTTGAAAAACGTTTTTAAAAACAAGAAAATTTAATATTTTAAAATTACATGTAAATGCACCATCTTGCCCCATCCGTGGGGTAAGATGAGAAAATATTGTTAAAACATGGAAAACGTTCTTACTTCCAAACAATGAGAGCGATTCGGACGTTTACTCGTACCATGATCTCTTTTGAGGTTGACATTTAGTTCCCCAAATAACAGCTATATGAAAGCACGTAAACCACGAATAAACAGACGTCCCCGTCTTACCCCATGGCCCCATTTTGCACCACTTTCCCCTACATTTACAGTTGCATGCATGTGCGGGCGAACATCCATGTGTGCGTGCATCTGTGTAATCTATACGTGCGCGTGCATGCATTTGTGAATGAACAAGATACTTCAAACTATAATAACTACTTGTAGCGTAGTAATGTAGAGTATTTTAGTTATGGGATATTATTGATAATTTCAAATATACTAGGTAATCTTAATTAAAGTAAATTCCTCTATTCAACTCTGTTCAGATAAATATTTAGCAGCCCGAATGTACCAAATCTGGTATAGCAACGTTTCAAAACACGGGGACATTTCCGTACATAGAAATTAGTACAAAAATTCACCATTATGGAACGTTTGGTTTTCCTTGTACAAGCACACGTGTTATCGTTGAAGATGTTACTAAAACTACTGTTGAACAGTCAATCAATAATGTTGTTCGCTCCAGAAGAGCAAGTGCTGTGTTATGGCAGTTGAGTATATCCTATGGCACGTAGTGTGTACAGTACTTGTAGTCAATGTTCTCTCTAAGCTGCGCGGCTGCGCGGTCGCGCGCTACTCAAATTGTTGCCGCGCACGAGAATTTGTGCCGCACAGGCGAGCATGCACACCTATTTGAATTGTTGTTTACTTATTTCTCACTCTGTCTGCAACATGATTATTGCTGAGTATATTTCGATTAAATATATCAAATCATTGACAAAAGATAATATTTCGTATAAAAGTATGTTTTAAAATAAATTTTAATCTCTACTTTATAATTAATTATTTTAATTTGTTTAGAAAAAAATAAGATTTATATATATATGCTCAGCAAAATTTTTTTGCTCGGAATCTGCTCAGCAAATTTTTTTGCTCAGAGAAGTACTGAGAAAGTTGATATATTATTATCCGTATAAGCTAAAATCATCAGTGTTTGTCGCCGAACAACCTTTATATTGAGTTTCCTTGCCAAAATGGAAATGGATGTGTCGGAACTATGAAAGAGCCTGTGGAGATACGAGACATATTTTTACATCAGTGAAACGTAACTTCCCCTGTGGGCTACGAAAAACCCTTGTTTTTCAGCGGGTTCTATTGCATTCGCTTAAAGTTATAGCTTGGTAGGAATTCACAACTATATTTATCCTTGGACTATTCTTTGAAGAAGTTAATCCCAATGGATCTGTAACATGCTATGTGACAGCTCACATACAGTATACCGAGAGATGCTCAACACTTTTGTCGTACCTCAACTTCAACAGTGACAATAATTTTTAATACAAACAGTTTTTGAAACAACAATTCCTCGATAACACAGCGATTAGTTGTGAACTTCTAAAGTCTGGCCAACCTATTCTCTNAATATTTCTAATTAATTTAGCAATTTTTATGAAATATTTGAAGTATTTTTTTTATGTTCTATCAATTTTTAATTAAATTTACAGTTTAATTATAATATAGATAATTTTCAAATATTTTTTAAAATAAAAATATACAAAGTTAAGATACTTGAAACAGAAAATAATATAGGCTAAATTTTAAAAATAAATAAAATTATAAAATATTCCTAATTTTTTTTATTGTAAAAAGTAGAAAATCATTTAAATAAATGTTTTTTGTACTGATAGCATTTGTTTATGTAGGATTCATATTCTTTAACTGTATTTAAATTGTACGTTATCGAGAAACGGAAGAAGGTAATTTTTTGAATTTTTTTTCAATTTAATCGTCGGGTACGTACAGATAATACGGCCAATAAATAGCATTGAAAATGAAGAATAACAAAGGGAAGAGGATTCTACAGACTCTGTCCACCATCATGGCTCTCTTCACATTGCGAGCTAATTCATTGGATGCATTTGCCTTCTCTGCCAAGTCGTTATTAATTGGAATCTTTTTCGTTCTCTAAGGAAAAAAGATTAAATTAAACTCAAAGGATTTATTACTACAAACAAATTTCATTATTTTCATCGACAGTTTCGAAAATTGATTAAGAATTTGCCTTTGTTTTGTTGTCGCCTTTTCTCATTCACGCGCCATTAATAAAGTTCTTTTGTATTTTTGAATAAATTTTTTTTATGTAATTAATAAAGAAATGTAAAGCAAAATGACTTTTTTCTAATAAAAAGACTATGCTTCACTTCACTTTATCGGTTTAAATACATTCGTAAATAGCATAAATGTGTGTGTAAATTGCTTACATATTAATAAAATACGTAAAATTCCTTATAAAATTTATATAGTTCATGTTTAAAAATGTCGACATTTTAAAATTTATCTTAAAATTATTTATATTTTTTATTCTTTAACAATATATGCCACTTAATTATTAACTAGGCCTATATTAATCCCAGTTTGATTTTATTAAGTAGTGAAATATGAAATAAATGCATAAATATGAAATATATACATGAAATAAGACCTGAACACAGAAATTCATTTCATAACTCCTAAATTAAGAATTAATTTATCATTTTTAAAAAATATTTTTTATATTTTTTTTGTGGTGAATGATGAAAGATTCAGTTACTCGAAAAAGTAACCATTAAATACTTTCCTATCAAATTACCGCTACATTTATCCTGGGAAGAAGAATGAATCTGGGAGAGAACCTTTTACTGTTGCTATAACGTGACTTTTATTATACATTAAATATTTAAAGCGACGTTTAAAAAACTTATACTTACTGCAAAAATATTTAAAGATCTTCTAAAATCTTCTGGACAGTGTTTACTTCTAGATAAATAATTAACTAAAGTGAACTCTAAGAGAGCACCGAATACCATCACCGAACAAGTTCCTATCCAGACATCGATGGCTTTCACGTAAGATACAGGAGGAAGTTGAGTTCTTACACCGGAAGCGACCGTGGTTAACGTCAGCAAAGTAGTCACTCCCAACGTCACTCTGGCGGGTGTGGCGTCGACGTTCAACCAAAATGATACCCAAGAAATCATGACTATTAAGAACGTCGGAAGATAAGTTTGTATCAAATGATATCCGTTCTGACGTTCCAATCTGAAGGTTGCATTCAGGAAACTAAAAGCACCTTTAAATAAACGAAACGTCTTTAGCCACTAATCCTAAAATTATTAATATATTAAACGCGCATTAGTATATGTTATATATTTATTCAAGGTCTTTACTATTATTTTTTAGTTCCTTGCGGATTAATTACTAAAGTCTATGATTTTAGAAAACTCAAACCTGTATCTATATGTCTAGTAAAATTATCGTATTTATAACTTATAAGGTTGAATTCGGGTAATTCTATAGGTGATTCTATTACAATTGGCGTTTTTCTATCCCATTGAATCTCCACTTGATCTACTGTTTGTGCATCTAAAAGAATGGAAAATTATACAATAATTAAAATAAAAACAAAAATATATAGACTATATATTTATCTATCAGACAGAAGATATTTTAAACATTTGATAATAATTTAAGTAAATTTTTCAAAATTATAATTAATACAAGTTTATTATTATTATAGCCACATATACAATAATTTCTAGTTAACGAATATAATTTTGAAGTATTTATTATTTTGATTAGAGATTTACTACTTAAACAAAAGGAATGGATTGTTGCCAAACACGTATAACACTCATCTAAACAGAAAAAAAACAACGTTAAAGAAAGGATCATTAGCAAATAATAAAGCTGTTAACAGTGTGAATAGATTGCAGCTACATAATATAACAAAAATAGTTAGGAAAACATCCTCATTACATTTATTTTTATTCATCCCTTAAGGCGCATCATTTGCAAGAAGCAAATTAAATGGATAATAAATGTATTGTTTGATTATTGTAAACTATAAATGAACTGAATTTTAGTTAAGGCATTCAGAAACAATTCGTAGCTTAATTTATTGAGAATCGAGTCAAAGCCACGAAAGTGAACAATGTCGAGAAATTGTTTGCAAAGTCAAAGACGATTTAACAAATATATTCGATTGTTAATTATATTAATTCGTAGATTCTTGAGTTTTCAGAGGACCAATTAAATAGATGCATAAGCATGAATCGACGTCTCGCCGAATTATCGTCAATTAATCCTCCATGCCATCGAATCGATTGCACTTACACTTATTAACATATTCGTGTAATGGAATTTAATGACTAGTTTAGCAATGTTTCCCCCCTTTAAATCCGATTATATATAAACAAACTCTATGCAAAATTGAAAAATTATGAACGTATAAATTTAAAATAGGACAAACAAACGTAACTTACAAGGTCCCACTACTAAGTGGCAATTTTGAGTATCTAGAGGATAGTGACGAAACGACATGTGACAAGCCAGTCTTAATGTTAATCTAGAACATAAATCATACGTTAATTAAATTTCTTTTTTTAACTAGTTACGTAATAAATACAATTTTCTGTACTATACCTCATGCTGTACAAGACTCTTCCGTCTGGATCCATTTTGATGAGACGATTAGGTACTGTCACTTTATGAAAACTGGCTTTTTTGACGTTACGGAAGAACAAGTCGGGTTTCCATATTTTATCGACTAGATCTTCCCCATTTAGCGTAACCGTACTATTTATTCCAAACTGTGCCAGATTCAACCTCTGGTCTTGCCAAGCTTGTCGTAAATAGATATCCATGCTGTATTCCTAGAATTACACAAAAGATAATTAAATAAGACATGATTCTTGTGTGTTAGGACAACCTAAAAAACACCACAGAAACGTTACGTAACAGATACAAATAAGAAAATTCGTTTATTCTAATGAATTCACAAGAACGTCTCAACATTGTCTTTCCTAATAGAAACTAATTAATATTCATTATCTACTAGTTGTAATAATAGTGTTGTGTGATCATTTAAGGTGAAAGGTCGCCGACCAATTATATAAGGGTTTTTGCTTTCCCATAATAAATTATGATTAAGCTGAGACGGACGTTATTACTTCTTTAAATATAGTCATTGAAAAATTGTAATTATCTTTCTCTTAATTAATACACGCAAATTTTATGAAATGTAGGACCTAATAATTTGAATGTTTTTAAGTTATATATTTCTTTAGTTTCATACGTAATAAAATACTATATTTACATTTCACTTTGTGAAATTTTTCATAAATATTTCTTTTAAAAATCGTGAGAAAATATCTCTCCTAGATAAGTATCATAGAAAATTTTAGGAATTTTCTATAAGATAAATTTCTCAAAAATTTTTTATGAGAAATTTTCTAGGAGTTTCCTAAATTTTCTAAAAGTTTTCTAGAAAATTTTACGAATTTAGGAATTATCTATTAGAATTTTTAATTTTTAAATCATTTTAAAAATTTCTCATAATTTTTTTACATAATTTAAATGTATCTATAACATAAATTATCTAAAGATTATTTAAACTGTATTCGTTATATGAATTTCTAGTTTAAAATGAGAATATAAATAATATTAATAACCTAATTTCAAAATTCAAAATTGTCCAATAAAAATCAACAGGAAATGATGTCAAAAAGTTTTAAAATTTTAAAACTTCTCTTCAAGATACAAAATCCTAAAAGCCTTAATACGTTAATACGTCATACAGAATACATTTTATTGCAATGTTATCCTAATTCCAAAACACAATACATTTAGGCCTATTACTTGTTTGTTTATAATCCTGTTCATATCTCATCTTAAAATGTATGCATACATAGATTCAAATAGAAAAAAAATTGATTTATATTGTATATAATGCTAAGCATAAAATTCTGATATGGCATACAAGAATTAAGATTGAAAACGTGTAGAATATCATCGATATATTTCAATAAAACGAAACGAAATAGTTTCTGCGAAATGTCGATATCATTTACCACCTCATATTACTTTAGTAATCTTACCAAATATTGGTACTAAAGGCGCGAACTATCACCTTAACTCCTGTTTTATAGCTTGTTTTATGACTGTCGACGACAAAGTCTAGACATTCCTACACCTCACCATTTTTACATTGCTTCCTATAATACTTTTATTATTATTATTATTATTATTATTATTATTATTAAAAATAATTCTATCTACAGTTTAATTCGACTCATTTTTACGAGCGAAATCGTTATAATTTGTATAACACGCGATCATGCAATCTACCTTTTAAGTTTGCCGTCTTAAGAACTGCTAATTTACATGTAAAATATGATCCTAAATTATAAAATTCTATTTTTGTGCTTCGATATTTTTGTATCTTTATAAAATAGGACTCCATACGTACGCTCCAACGTTTCGAACTCTATTGTCTGTAACGTGGCATATATAACATTTCACCGAGACTTTATTAGGTTGTTTGACGTAGACTTTGATTTTAAATCAATATGTATATAACTAAATTATCTCGAATAATTTTTAAATATGTATAATTAGTTAGAAGGTATCGGCGAAAATTAAAAAAAAAAAAAAAAAGCATTCTTAGAGACAAGTTACGTGACGTTGGACGAGTGCCAAACGAGTAGCAGTTTTACTAGAATGGCACCCACGTGACCCTCTTCAGATTTTTTTTCATATTTTCGACAATTCAACAAATTCTATTCGTTACAAGATTTAAAATTATTTAAAAACTTTGAAGCAGACAAACAAAAATTTCATTATTTACATTTTGCAAATTGTACAATATTCTATACTCTTTAAGGATTTTACATTATATACTTCTTGTGTTGAGTTTTTTGTCATAAGATACAGTATATAGGTCATATTTTATTTTCTGTTTCTTGGTAAAAGAATGTAAATATTTAATTTTACATTTAATATGAACGAAAATTATATATTTAAAAATAATTCCAATCTAGACTTTATATTTAAAACATATACTGTAAATATATTTTATCTGTTTATCTGTTTTCTCTTCTAGGGTAGCTGAGAAAATTATAATAACACAAAATTATCCTTTGATAATATCAATTTAATCTGCGTAAAGAAAAAGAAAGGGGAAAAAGAGAAAGAGGGGAAGAACAATTAAAATATTTGTCACATTTGTCTTTTTACTTTTCTCTATTTACTAATATATTAAACTTAAAAATCACCAGGAAAAAATCTTTTAATCATGATGTTTAATTGAAAAAATAAGCTTAAATGTTTTTTCTTCTGAATAAAGTTTGTTTGTTGATAAAGAAAATATTTAAAAATTAATTTTTCAAATAAATTGTGAGATCTACGAGAATATTTAACGGTAATACAATTGTCTACGTCTTATTTTCTTCATCTCTCAAATATTTTTATATCTGAAATCTTAAAGTTTACGTAGGAAAATATGTTTAATTAATTATTAAAGAATTTACCATTTACATAATTTGGTAATAGAATAACCTAAACATTGTAACTACAATATATATATATATATATATATATATTTTACTATCTCTCTCGCGTTATCATTCTCAACATTATTTTTAGTAAGATTTAGTACAATAAACGTAGGAATAACACTATAATTAATTTTAAAAAAAGTGAATGCGTTAGAAAATATGTGGGGAAAGGTGGAACAAGATGAGAACGTCAAGGTTTGAAGAGTCATAAGATGACAACCACTTTGATGAGAACGATAATTTTTTTTTATTCTCAGCAACTACAACATTTGATAATATATAATACAAAATTTAATTTTTGAAAAACGTTTTTAAAAACAAGAAAATTTAATATTTTAAAATTACATGTAAATGCACCAGCTTGCCCCATCCGTGGGGTAAGATGAGAAAATATTGTTAAAACATGGAAAACGTTCTTACTTCCAAACAATGAGAGCGATTCGGACGTTTACTCGTACCATGATCTCTTTTGAGGTTGACATTTAGTTCCCCAAATAACAGCTATATGAAAGCACGTAAACCACGAATAAACAGACGTCCCCGTCTTACCCCATGGCCCCATTTTGCACCACTTTCCCCTACATTTACAGTTGCATGCATGTGCGGGCGAACATCCATGTGTGCGTGCATCTGTGTAATCTATACGTGCGCGTGCATGCATTTGTGAATGAACAAGATACTTCAAACTATAATAACTACTTGTAGCGTAGTAATGTAGAGTATTTTAGTTATGGGATATTATTGATAATTTCAAATATACTAGGTAATCTTAATTAAAGTAAATTCCTCTATTCAACTCTGTTCAGATAAATATTTAGCAGCCGAATGTACCAAATCTGGTATAGCAACGTTTCAAAACACGGGGACATTTCCGTACATAGAAATTAGTACAAAAATTCACCATTATGGAACGTTTGGTTTTCCTTGTACAAGCACACGTGTTATCGTTGAAGATGTTACTAAAACTACTGTTGAACAGTCAATCAATAATGTTGTTCGCTCCAGAAGAGCAAGTGCTGTGTTATGGCAGTTGAGTATATCCTATGGCACGTAGTGTGTACAGTACTTGTAGTCAATGTTCTCTCTAAGCTGCGCGGCTGCGCGGTCGCGCGCTACTCAAATTGTTGCCGCGCACGAGAATTTGTGCCGCACAGGCGAGCATGCACACCTATTTGAATTGTTGTTTACTTATTTCTCACTCTGTCTGCAACATGATTATTGCTGAGTATATTTCGATTAAATATATCAAATCATTGACAAAAGATAATATTTCGTATAAAAGTATGTTTTAAAATAAATTTTAATCTCTACTTTATAATTAATTATTTTAATTTGTTTAGAAAAAAATAAGATTTATATATATATGCTCAGCAAAATTTTTTTGCTCGGAATCTGCTCAGCAAATTTTTTTGCTCAGAGAAGTACTGAGAAAGTTGATATATTATTATCCGTATAAGCTAAAATCATCAGTGTTTGTCGCCGAACAACCTTTATATTGAGTTTCCTTGCCAAAATGGAAATGGATGTGTCGGAACTATGAAAGAGCCTGTGGAGATACGAGACATATTTTTACATCAGTGAAACGTAACTTCCCCTGTGGGCTACGAAAAACCCTTGTTTTTCAGCGGGTTCTATTGCATTCGCTTAAAGTTATAGCTTGGTAGGAATTCACAACTATATTTATCCTTGGACTATTCTTTGAAGAAGTTAATCCCAATGGATCTGTAACATGCTATGTGACAGCTCACATACAGTATACCGAGAGATGCTCAACACTTTTGTCGTACCTCAACTTCAACAGTGACAATAATTTTTAATACAAACAGTTTTTGAAACAACAATTCCTCGATAACACAGCGATTAGTTGTGAACTTCTAAAGTCTGGCCGACCTATTCTCTGAATCTTATCCGCAGGATTTTTGGTGAAGAGACACTTAAAACATGGTTATATACCGAGGGCAAGGTGCAAATTTGGCAGTCTCGAAAGACAGTATTACATTGCATGAGAAAAGATTAATATGTTGACCGTTCAAAATGAATTTTCAGACAGGAGACCACATTAAACAGCATCCCATACATCGCAAGATCTACGTATAGCATGAGTATCTTGCACAAATAAGATACAGTATTTATTATTTGCGGCGCCAAAAGTGCCATAGTAATAAGTCCTGATACTAACTAAATTCAGGATTCTTCCGCTTGTTCTGAATGTTGCCATATCAGATTTGTTTAATTTGAACTGCTAAATCTAATTATTTCTCTAGAAAGCCTTGATTCTTTTAATTACGATCATCAGATATATCAGAACTTATTCTCTTTGCAGAATTTCTTATTAAATCGTAATTTCCACTCATAAGGTTCTTACATCTTATTCTTTACTTAAAATATATAAATCAAAAATTAACTTATAGAATAATTGAATATATTTTTAGAAATGTATACTTAATTTTACTTCTTCTCGGGGTCTTTTTAATCTTTCTTTCTCTTTTTATACTGATTATTATATTATATTTATATTGATTTCATAATAATAAGTTTATAATCAAAGCCGATAATTCATATATAAGAAAAAAATAAAATGCCATAATTTAAACGCATTCTCATACTTTAAACACCACCTAATTGTATGGAAAGTGTTACGAAGACCTCGTAATGCTATAATTTCAGGATGTAACTTCCTTCTTAAAGCGATAAAATTTATATTTAGAGAAAGTTTAGATTCCTGACATTATAAACAAAAAAATTTTTTCGATTTCAGTTAGCTGGAAGAAAGAAAAAAATAATGTTTTTTTTTCTTTTTACGTGGCTTTTATTTCGAGTGGAAATGATTAAAACCATCAACCTCCAAAGAAATACTCGTAACATCAGCAAAATTCGATACTCGATTCTCCTAGATGAAACAATTTTCTATAGCTAAAAGTGTCGAATTTATTTGTCTGTTCTGTAATGTTTTATTCGAAAAAATAATATCTTTTACCGATTCTAAAAAAATGCATTATCAAAATTACGATAATAAATATCAAGAAAAAACTGAATTCTTTCAAGTTTAGAAATATTATTTGAAAAATATGTAGCTTATTTGAATTATATACATTTAATAATTATACTAATAAATATTTTAATTATAATAATGTAATAAAAATTAGCCTATATTGTGTATAAATTCGTACAAGAGTTACAAAATAAATTATAAGAGTCAACTATCTTTCTAATATTCCATTTTTTAAAGTAAATTTTTTAAAATTATTTCGAATTATTAAAATTTCAAAGAATTTATAAAATATTTATACGCGAGAATATATTTGATCAGTTCAAATTATAGCATGATATTAGCAATTCATGTACTAGATGACCGCAATTTACAGATTTCTTCTCTCATCATAAACGATTCCGGGTTCGAATTCGCTTTGAATTCACATAATTTTGAATAAATAATTTAAATTAAAGCTTCGTTCTTTCATCTTCATGATCGAAGGCAAACTTATTGAACACTTGTCACACTCTCAATGGCACTTTTCAATTTTATCCATTCAGATTGTCTGTTAAATGTAAAGCAAATGGTAATTGGTTAAGTTCTAACTCTTTATTCTTGGTGAATACCTCCATTAATGTAGCATTTAAAATAAAATAAAATATTCTTAAACCTCTTAATTGTTATCACACTCTTTTCTATTACTCGAACAAAGGAAAAAAACTGTTTGCTCTAGCATAACTTTACTGCTATAGCAAACAGTTTGTCAAACTTTACAATTTAATAATTAATATTTAATAATAAGGACAGAGTGAGCAGAGAATGTTCATAAACATCTAGTGGAGACGATTCTTAAATAATAGACTATTGTTCATGTTTAGAAAATATTCTCGTAAATTATAATAAATACCTTTAATTCTTTAAAATTTTTTTATGAAAAAATTTTAATTAAACTTAGTTTATAAAATACTACTTCATAAATATTCCTCGAAATTAAATTTGTACTTTATAAAAGCAAAACATACTTTTTTCTTTATTTTTTTGCACTTCTTAATGACAATTTTCTAAAATATTAACTGGTAAATGGCTTAAATATTGTTCGATTAATCATTGAAATAATTAAGCAAAATAACTAATTTAAGCGATAAAAAATATAGAAATAAATTTAAAAAATTTTATTTATCTCATATTTTAATATAAAATTAACTCGATTTTCCAAACATCTATACTTTTATTTAGCAGGAATATCGATTTCCAGCGAAGAATAATTCAGAAATAATTTGTTTAATCTTTATAAACACAATTTTAATTCTGTATTTAATGAATATACACATTAATCTGAAAATGTTAACTAATTATAATTAAATCTCCACCCCGCTTGGACTTTTGATGATAACAAAATGAGTAAAATATTATTTTAAAGGTAAGTAAAATCTTTCCTCGTCTTTAATTTTAAATACAGTAAAAATCGACAATTTTAAAGAAGAGCGTGTAATAATTAACTTAATAAGAAATACATTAAGACAATTTCGTGTTTAGATAATTACATAGAGAATAATTAAGTTGCAAATTCCAATTGTTCTCTACGGAATTATTAACCTAAGACATACGAAACTCGCATTAACATTGTAATAAATTAGTCGGTTGTTACATTACTATTATTATCGGTGTTATGATAAAACAGCTGTGTACGCGCATTCAAAACGCTTATTATATCGTGATACGTCCGTTTGTCTGCTGAAATAATGTAAATTAATTGGAAGATTGATGTGAAATATAAAATATTTTCGCATCTCGTCTTTAAATTTGAAACCCTAATAGCTTGTTTAACCTGTATTTCAGGTAAAATTACGACGGGTCTGTTGTACTGTATATTCTAGTAAAGTAGAATTAATAATGGATTACATATAATAGTAACTTATAACTACAATTTATCAAAATTGGTGTAAATATTTTGCCTAAAATCAATTAAGAAATAAAATTCTGAGGGTAAAATTCTCTAAATAGAATCGAACGAGTCTGGAATCAAACTTCCGGTCTGGAATCTTTTATATCAAATGTTCTATAAAGTTCTGTAAATTTTTGGTATTCTTATAGAACACCAAAAATTTATCTTTATAAAGTTGATTTTTAAAAATATTTCTCATTTTTTAAAATATGTATCTTTCCATCTAATTCTTGTAAAATTCTCTTCCTTTTATCAGTATTTAAATTTCCGTTACAACATGCTTCATTGGCTCTTTTATATTTAAGTTGTGTTCTTAAATAATTACCTTTACTTCTTTCATATCAAGAGCGATAACAATTCCCAACGGATTCTCTTAAAAATCAAAATTTTCTTCATTTTATATTTTCAAAACAAAACTACTTTTTCATAAATTTTAAAAGAAAAAAAATTGAAGCATTGAAATCTTTCTGATAAAAGTAATTTCGATATTCTCGATTCCTTTTCTTGTACAGCATATTCACGATTTTTACATTTCTTTTATTGTTACTTTCAAATGTGAAATATTACAGAATATAAATAAGTGATTTTATAACTTATTTTATTTATAAATTTCTTGCAGTTCTTTCATGGTTACTTTTATTTNATTTATACGCGAGAATATATTTGATCAGTTCAAATTATAGCATGATATTAGCAATTCATGTACTAGATGACCGCAATTTACAGATTTCTTCTCTCATCATAAACGATTCCGGGTTCGAATTCGCTTTGAATTCACATAATTTTGAATAAATAATTTAAATTAAAGCTTCGTTCTTTCATCTTCATGATCGAAGGCAAACTTATTGAACACTTGTCACACTCTCAATGGCACTTTTCAATTTTATCCATTCAGATTGTCTGTTAAATGTAAAGCAAATGGTAATTGGTTAAGTTCTAACTCTTTATTCTTGGTGAATACCTCCATTAATGTAGCATTTAAAATAAAATAAAATATTCTTAAACCTCTTAATTGTTATCACACTCTTTTCTATTACTCGAACAAAGGAAAAAAACTGTTTGCTCTAGCATAACTTTACTGCTATAGCAAACAGTTTGTCAAACTTTACAATTTAATAATTAATATTTAATAATAATAAAAAAAGTTGGCAATGTTGTTGCTGGACTTTTTCGGCATTCTTTATGTTTTCATTTCTAATTATTACTATCATTACCTTCAAGTCTTCAGATTAGTTCAAGAGATATTAAGAGGGTGGCCCATATCTCCTGAACCAATGATCTGATTTTCCTGAAAATTTCTAAAAATATTTCCATTTAATACAGAAACCTCTCTACAAAATTTCAGATATTTTTGATGTAAAGCATAGGAGATATTAAGCTTTAGACTAGGTGATAAAAATCTTGTCCCCCCCACACTCTAACATCCATACACACAGAAAAATCTCACAACTTCATCGCATTTCTCGAATTTTCAAGATTTCTGAATCCAACAATGTCTCGGGGTCATTTTTGGAAATCTTGGGGTGAATTTTTCAATCTTGGGGGTCATTTATTGACCGGTTGTCATACGGTTTCCTTCTGTTNCTATAGTTTTGCAGAGAAATTTGGTACTACGAGATTGATGCTATTCAATTTTATTAGTTAAAGAGGGTGTGAAGTGATAGAAATGTCGTGTGTCATATCTCGAAAAGGGTGGGGCCTGACAAAGATCTACATCGTTATTCTTATCTTATAAAACTTATTTATACCCAGAAAATTAACTTTTTCGACAATTTATAATAAATTGTTTTATATTTTTTATATAAAAAATTTTCAATAAAATATTATAAGAGATTGTAAGTTAAGAAACTCCTTATTAGATTTTAACTTTTTCTCACGCACAAAATTTCATTAAATCAGAAAAACATTAATTTTAATGTCATTTTTTCAAGAATGTTGTCGATGTAACAATTTCCAATTGTTTCAATTGTTGAAGCGAAATAAAGCGTTATTTGGAAAGTATTCGTTTGCGAATTTCTAGTGAAAAAATGATGAGAGAAAGGTAAATTTAATCAAAAGTAATGATTACGAATGACATTTCTTTCATATTTATTTAAAATTTCATCAATTTAGTTATAATAGACGTGATGGCGCTGAACCCGACGGTCAGCAAAATCAGAATTATTGGATTAATAATGTAAGTTATTTCAATATCATCGATGAATTTTTTATTAAAAGTCAATTAACAAGTCTTTACTCGATTTTGAAATATGCATTAAGAGTAACAAATATTATTATTTTGATTTTCCGTAGAGTTTCTATGACTTGCCCGCCAATGAGTGTTTCTCCGCTTACAAAGGAGATTCATCATTTGAGGTGAACAAACCTAAGAGAGATTTAAAGATAGGAGGATTTAAACACTTTTTCAAAAGTGTATTTTGTAAACTGTTGCGCTGTTGTTGCGTAAAAGGAGAAACTTCCGATTCACCGGTAACACTCGAGTTTCTTTGTTTTCTCTGTTTTTCAATTAACGAACTTTGAACCAAAATATTTTATAATCGTAGAAGTGCGAATTGGAGGATTTTCAATCTGGACTTGAACGTCTAAACAACACTAAAGACAAGTACAAATTTCAAGAAATTGGTGAAGGATCTTTTGGCACAGTGTATGTGGGTCGGTGTAAAAGTTCCGACAAAGCAATCGCTGTCAAAGCCATCAAGAAACGACGGTTTTTCCTAAAGCAGGTATACATTGTTTTCCATAATCTTTCTATCTACAAACGATACAATGTCTGTAACGACATTGGTAGAATCCAAGAATGTACTACTTTATTTTATCTTTGAAGTGTGTACACATGACTGAAAAAACACAGTTCATTTATATAATAATGTTGTTGTTAATACTTTTCAAAAATATTCTATAAAAAACTAATACAGTCGAACCTCTAATAACGGACTCCTCTAAATCGCGGCCATTTTTTCAGGAACGTTTAACAAAAATGCACACAAAATAACCTCCAAAGAATGGCCACTCCAAGGACAGCCATGCATTATATTTTCATCAATGGTCGTTGTTCAGAGGTTTGATTGTATCTTATTTACAAATTTTACTACTTCATCCAGTACAAATCTACCAGCTTACAGTTAATATAATTATAATAATTACATTTTTTCGTGTAACGTAGAGTAACGTTTCAGAAGGATCGATCCAAGAATAATACAGAGAAATATCAAGAGATTAAAATTATTTGACAAGCGATAATCNTTTGTCGCCGAACAACCTTTATATTGAGTTTCCTTGCCAAAATGGAAATGGATGTGTCGGAACTATGAAAGAGCCTGTGGAGATACGAGACATATTTCTACATCAGTGAAACGTAACTGCCCCTGTGGGCTACGAAAAACCTTGTTTTTCAGCGGGTTCCATTGCATTCGCTTAAAGTTATAGCTTGGTAGGAATTCACAACTATATTTATCCTTGGACTATTCTTTGAAGAAGTTAGTCCCAATGGATCTGTAACATGCTACGTGACAGCTCACAGACAGTATACCGATAGATGCTCAACACTTTTGTCTACCTCAACTTCAACAGTGACAATAATTTTTAATACCAACAGTTTTTGAAACAACAATTCCTCGATAACACAGCGATTAGTTGTGAACTTCTAAAGTCTGGCCAACCTATTCTCTGAATCTTAATCCGCAGGATTTTTGGTGAAGAGACACTTAAAACATGGTTATATACCGAGGGACTTTGATTTTAAATCAATATGTATATAACTAAATTATCTCGAATAATTTTTAAATATGTATAATTAGTTAGAAGGTATCGGCGAAAATAAAAAAAAAAAAAAAAAAGCATTCTTAGAGACAAGTTACGTGACGTTGGACGAGTGCCAAACGAGTAGCAGTTTTACTAGAATGGCACCCACGTGACCCTCTTCAGATTTTTTTTCATATTTTCGACAATTCAACAAATTCTATTCGTTACAAGATTTAAAATTATTTAAAAACTTTGAAGCAGACAAACAAAAATTTCATTATTTACATTTTGCAAATTGTACAATATTCTATACTCTTTAAGGATTTTACATTATATACTTCTTGTGTTGAGTTTTTTGTCATAAGATACAGTATATAGGTCATATTTTATTTTCTGTTTCTTGGTAAAAGAATGTAAATATTTAATTTTACATTTAATATGAACGAAAATTATATATTTAAAAATAATTCCAATCTAGACTTTATATTTAAAACATATACTGTAAATATATTTTATCTGTTTATCTGTTTTCTCTTCTAGGGTAGCTGAGAAAATTATAATAACACAAAATTATCCTTTGATAATATCAATTTAATCTGCGTAAAGAAAAAGAAAGGGGAAAAAGAGAAAGAGGGGAAGAACAATTAAAACATTTGTCACATTTGTCTTTTTACTTTTCTCTATTTACTAATATATTAAGCTTAAAGATCACCAGGAAAAAATCTTTTAATCATGATGTTTAATTGAAAAAATAAGCTTAAATGTTTTTTCTTCTGAATAAAGTTTGTTTGTTGATAAAGAAAATATTTAAAAATTAATTTTTCAAATAAATTGTGAGATCTACGAGAATATTTAACGGTAATACAATTGTCTACGTCTTATTTTCTTCATCTCTCAAATATTTTTATATCTGAAATCTTAAAGTTTACGTAGGAAAATATGTTTAATTAATTATTAAAGAATTTACCATTTACATAATTTGGTAATAGAATAACCTAAACATTGTAACTACAATATATATATATATATATATATATATTTTACTATCTCTCTCGCGTTATCATTCTCAACATTATTTTTAGTAAGATTTAGTACAATAAACGTAGGAATAACACTATAATTAATTTTAAAAAAAGTGAATGCGTTAGAAAATATGTGGGGAAAGGTGGAACAAGATGAGAACGTCAAGGTTTGAAGAGTCATAAGATGACAACCACTTTGATGAGAACGATAATTTTTTTTTATTCTCAGCAACTACAACATTTGATAATATATAATACAAAATTTAATTTTTGAAAAACGTTTTTAAAAACAAGAAAATTTAATATTTTAAAATTACATGTAAATGCACCAGCTTGCCCCATCCGTGGGGTAAGATGANATTGAATTTACACCTAAAAACATAATAATTGATCAATTTTAATATCTAAAACAATCATTAATTATAATTAATTAATTTATAAGGTGATAATACGAAAGCAAATAATCGAAATTAATTCTTGTAAATCCTGATTTACGATTTAAATGTATTTAGAATTAGTGAATAAAAAAATAAATATTCATAATATTTAATTGAGTAAGTGTTTTCTCTAGTCTTTCGGTAGTGTATTAATGCTTATAAATGTGTCTAAGGCAAAAGGAAAGCTTTTCTTTAAAGAAAACAATCGTAAATTACTTCCCCCTTCTCTCTCTCTCTCTCTCTCTCTCTCTCTCTCTCTCTCANAAAATTAAAAATTTAATAATTATAAGATAATGATTAAAATTTAATGATTAAAATATTACTGATAATAATACTTTTATTCCGTTAGAGTAGTTGTAAATTAGTAGAATTATATTGTTAAAAATCGACGAAAAGAACACCAAGATACTAATTTGACATTATTACGTATCGACTATTTGTCACCATTAACGTGACACTGACACGCTATCCTACTCTATCATTGTAATTTCTAGTCACTGTAGATGCACTTACTGATCTTAATTACATATTTTCATAGAAACTTTATATTTCTAACATTCTCCCTCCTCTCGGATTCTTTCGCCCTATGTGTATGTGACAAAAAATCTCTCAGTCATGTATACATATGGTGAAAACAACCGGATGGTGAAGGACGAAACTCGAAATATTCAGAAAGACCTCTGAATAATTCCTGAGGATTTTCCTGAAGATCCCGATCCCCGCTTTGTGGGAATCCAAGGAACCAGGAATCGAATCCTTTTGAATTCGATCCCGAATCCCCCAAAGCAGCCAGCGATTTTACATTTTAACAAAAAAAAACAAAACAAAAGGTATAAAAGTTCACTTAATATTATCAAAATAAATATAGGGAGGTCCAAAATTNGGTAAGATGAGAAAATATTGTTAAAACATGGAAAACGTTCTTACTTCCAAACAATGAGAGCGATTCGGACGTTTACTCGTACCATGATCTCTTTTGAAGTTGACATTTAGTTCCCCAAATAACAGCTATATGAAAGCACGTAAACCACGAATAGACAGACGTCCCCGTCTTACCCCATGGTCCCATTTTGCACCACTTTCCCCTACATTTACAGTTGCATGCATGTGCGGGCGAACATCCATGTGTACGTGCATCTGTGTAATCTATATGCATTTGTGAATGAACAAGATACTTCAAACTATAATAACTATTTGTAGCGTAGTAATGTAGAGTATTTTAGTTATGGGATATTATTGATAATTTCAAATATACTAGGTAATCTTAATTAAAGTACAATTCCTCTATTCAACTCTGTTCAGATAAATATTTAGCAGCCCGAATGTACCAAATCTGGTATAGCAACATTTCAAAACACGGGGACATTTCCATACAAAGAAATTAGTACAAAACTTCACCATTATGGAACGTTTGGTTTTCTTTGTATAAGCACACGTGTTATCGTTGAAGATGTTACCAAAACTACTATTGAACAGTCAATCAATAATGTTGTTCGCTCCAGAAGAGCAAGTGCTGTGTTATGGCAGTTGAGTATATCCTATGGCACGTAGTGTGTACTCGTAGTCAATGTTCCCTCTAAGCTGCGCGACTGCGCGCACTGCTCAAATTGTTGCCGCGCACGAGAATTTATGTGCCGCGCAGGCGAGCATGCACACTGATTTGAATTGTTGTTTACTTATTTCTCACTCTGTCTGCAACATGATTATTGCTGAGTATATTTCGATTAAATATATCAAATCATTGACAAAAGATAATATTTCGTATAAAAGTATGTTTTAAAATAAATTTTAATCTCTACTTTATAATTAATTATTTTAATTTTTTTAGAAAAAAATAAGATTTATATATATATATATATATATATTTTAATCCTTTATAATTTTAATTATTTAATTGCTCCTTCCTCTCT